ACATATTGACTTGGCGAGATACGATATTTTTTTCCCTCGTTATAATTCTATTTTAATAATAAAAGGGCGCCCGTGTTTTGATTCGTTTCATGTACACGCAGGAGGGCTGTGTGTACATAATATAATATAATATAATATAATGTATATATATATATATATAAGAGTATATAGCCGGTTTCCAATACATATGTATTTACTGCTTATACGCATCTAAGTATATAGTACATAACGTATACACAGTACACACACGGACATTGATAATATATATATATATATTACGGGGTGGCGTTTAATCGGGTTATTCTGTCCACAGTGGTTATAGCCTCATCCGTACAGAGCAGCTATATATAGGCATAGTATTTACATTATTATTATTATTATTATTATTATAAAAGGCACGTTTTGCATAAAGTATATTATATATGCGCATAAAATACATCGCACAGTGCAACCGTCGCGGAAGAAAGAGTGAACCGGAGCAAATCGAATCATTTCGCCCAGTTTTCTTTCCGGGCTTTTATACACAATATTTTATGTATACATAATAATAATAATATAYTATACGCGTGCACGGGAAAAGTATAAAACACGCGGTAAAGCTGTGTCGGCGGTGGTTGTGGCGGACTGCAGAGGGGGTGGGGGCGGTCCTGGCGTTTTGCGGCACGTCTGCGTTCTTCATTTAGCCCATTGTCTATGAGGCGACCCGCAGCAAAGTCTCGGAATACTAAAGGGGCTAGTAATATTATGGAGGTTATTGCGATTGAACACGACGACGACGTTTATTCTCGACCCGACTGAAGCGTCCGCCTTTGCCCGACGACGGCGGCGGAGGTGGTGTTCGACTCGTCGCGTACAATATAATAATATATAATACGCTGCAGTGTATACCCGGAACTTTAGAYGGCGCGAAGAGTCATATTATAATAATCATAATAATAATAACAACAACAAGCCCGCTGCCGTGCACCCACACGTATTATTCGTATTATATATATGTAACAGACTCGCCGTTGTGAATATTAACCGTTATGGTAATCTTGTACGGTACACGTATAATCCGCCTACCACTAGCGGACGAAAGGGTATAGGTACCACATGGTAATGTGGTATAATAAAATATGTGAGGTTATTGTATTATATAGGTATATCCGTATAAGGTATCGTAGATAAAATTATATTAGGTATATATTATAATTAGGGAYTGGATTTAAATTTCCTAGAAACTATCAAACAATAACAAAAATTGAGTAAAAAAAGCCTTTTAAACGTAATAACATGAACTTAAACAATGACCCAAATTGTTTTTGAAAGAAATATTAGAGGAAATACATAGTTATAATACGACGGATTAACTTTTGAAATTTTTTACACTTGTTTATCTTCACTAAATTAACAATAATACAAAAATAAAATAAATAAACAGTACCTATTTTAAAAATAAAAACAATCGTATTGTAATAATTTAACTGATCAATTAGTCTTTAAGTATTTGTTTGAGGTAAGACACTACAGGCACCACGTTTAATAATCGCTGCAGATATCGCATGTTTGCATTGATATTTTGAATGGGTGAAATTTGGTAGCAGGTATCTACCGAATAAAAAATAAGTAAAATAAGTAAATATTGTCTAAACAATTTTTTCTTTACAAAATATTTTGATTTCCTAATTTAGACGAAAAGTTATATTACAATTGTGTATTAATATAAACTAAATATTAATAAAATGATCTGAAAATGCAAATTTTTTTAAAAATAAAAGTTTCACTCTTGAAATATCTATTACATGAAACGAATTATTTACCTGGAATAATATGTGCTATAGCATCCAAACAATAATGCACTTTGCAGTTTGCATTGAATTCGTGCTCCTAATAATAATATATTTTTATTACGTGTGCTCTGTGTATATACATCGGTATTTCTAGTATTTCATATATATATATTATATCGATTGGCGATTGCGCATATTTATTATTGTTAATGGCGCAATTTAATTTGCGTTATATATGTAATATATAGGCATACACACTTGTAATAATAATTAATTACGTGTTTCAGATTTGTGCGTGGAATATAAAACAATTCACCAAAAGCCAACCATAATCAGAGCCGACTCMTAAACTAAGTAGGGAACTGCTATAGGTACCTAAATACATTCAGATTTATAAATCATTGCTAATTTTTAGTCATTGATCAATTTTTCTTTAATTCAGATGAAAACAACTAAYAAGTAGACTTACATAAATTCAGTGCCTGGAGCTTAAAGCACGTGTAAGCGGTGCGCCCGCACCGGCCCGCAAGTTGCAATYTTAAGTGAATAATTAGGGATGTCATTTAAGCCTTATTTAGTATGAATAATTTTTAAATCGCATCAAAAGAAAAAATACCTAAGGCCGTCCAGGTACATTATTTTTTTTTTTTTTAATTAAAAATTACTAATTGAAAGGAAATTTACGCGATAATTAGCATTAAAGTTCTTTAAATGCTAAATAAATATAATATCTATAGCTAAGATTTTGAAATTTAACAAATCACTTTTGTCATTACAAATCTCTAAAACCACCTGCAAAGTATRATTATTTGTTTAAAAAAAAGTCTATTAATTTCATTAAAATATTTGTAAAAAAATAGGTATTAATTAATAAACTATAAAGAACTTCCGAACATGTGTAGAAATACAAATGCACACCCTTTTATGCCATATAAATGATGCCCTTGAAAGTTGGAACATATAACCTAACCTACCTAACCTTTAATCTTTAYATGGTATGCAATTTGATTAAATTGTTTKCTTAAAATGTTTGCCATTCAATTGAAATTTTTTCATAGATTATACTTTTGAAAACTCTCATTTATACATAAACTATATTGATATTTAACAGTCACGCTGCTCTAAATCTACTTAAGTATTTAGTATCTACATACTCTTATACTATACAATCTGTAATATGTGATACGTAACTTAAGGACATAAATATTGATGCTTGTACATCCTTATTATATGGCCAGGCTTTTATAGCTAGACCAAATCTTCAGAAGGAGGCAAACCAAGTATTARATATAGGGCCAGGAGATGCAATTGCTGTAGATTCAAATAAAAATAAGTGATTATTAGATATGGCAATTATACTATCGTGGCTATTTTTATTTMATTTTTACGTATAAATATTTAAGAAATACATTTATGATGGATTATATATTAAGAGCTGATAGGCACTTTTATAGGAGAATTGTTTAAAAGACTACGCATGCAAATTGCATAAATGTTACCTACTCCACACAAAACCGATCGCTTCTCTCGTAAACCTCCTATGGTGAGATAAATTAGTTAAATCTACATAATATATATTTTAAATTTTAAAACATATAATACTATGTAACCCAATAAATTATAGTCACTCTCCACAAAATGCATTTTGATTATATGTTTGAATACATTTATATACACTATGTAAAAAATAATTTTAGTAGGTACCAGTTTACTATTTATTATATATCTACCAAAAAGTACCTMATTTTTCAATTTTTTTTGCAATTGAAATTGGATCTAGAATTATTATACTTGTTGGCCGTTTTTACAAATTACTTATGTTGATAAATTTATATTAATCACTAAGATTTTTAAATCACCATATTAGCCATATCTTACATACTCATTATCCTTTGTACACAAAGTTAAAAACTCAAAAACCACACGTACGAATTTTTATCTGAAATGTCAACATTTTCAGAAAAATTATCCACTAAATAATTTACAATAGAAAAGGGTTCTCATTTTATAAACAGAAGTTTGTATCTCCTTTTGTGTTCAAGTGTCAAATACCTACGTTTTGACTCAAACAACAATAAAGCTAAATTGAAATATATAGAAGTCAGTTGTGTAGTTGGTTTCTTTTGTGCATTTACTATCTGCGTTGAGCAAAAAAGTGTAACTGATCGGTAACTTCCGAGCTATATCTGAACACTTCTACTGGTRGTATCTTTCACATTTTGTTTTAAATTAAATATTTTACGCTTAAATACATAACTTTGATTCTATTTTACTTATGCGCAAAACACGCAAATATATCAAGTGATCCATGTATTGTTGTATGACGTTTATTCCWGTTACTTGAAATAAATATTAAATTTAATACATATTTTATTCTATAAAACGAATAAATTGATGTATTTAGTTAATAATATTTATTATAATGAATAGTTTGTTGCAACCTGCTGCAGGCCATTATATAATTTAAATGATTTCATTATATATTATTCAATATTTAATTTACGTACTATAAATTAAAAATAATTCTTTATAGGTTAGCTAATTATATGCCTAGTTTAAACTGGTATTTTAAAATTAATTTATATTGTGAAAATATCTTCTCACTTCCTTTGTCATTTTTTTATACTTTTTTTTAGAACAATATGAACATAGGTTCAGTAACAAGGTTAAAAACAATTTTATATATACAAAAGCGTTTTGGCACATAGAGCACAACAATAACCGGCATCAAGGGTTTCCGGTTCTCGTCAACAATGAACTAAAAGAAAGAAAAAACACACCCCTTGACGTTGTGCCCTCATTATAGCTACGTGTGTATGTGATGAGACAAACTCATTATGTCAAAAGCCCACTAGAAATTTTACAGAAACGGATGAAAAGTGTTCTTAGTCGTTGAGCCGTTGCAATGGGCCTGTGACAAGACCCTAAAGACCTCTAAGAGCAAGAATGTGTAAATTGAGAACGCTTCAGAAAACGTTTTGAACTGAATGTAGAGACAATGTAGGTTAAAATGTCGGGTATTTTATTTTCACTAAATATAATATGATGGTAGATATTTATTAATATAAGTATGCACTATATTATTATACCAGCTAAATATCATATATTTTGWCACTGACGAAAAAATAAGAAAAAATAAATATGTAAAAATAACATTTATTAATGTAATCAACGACAATAAATTATTCATACACATATTCGTATGATGTATATATTATATATATTTAATATTTATAAACCTAATAACTAATTATTATATAGTTAAATGTTTCACATAATTATCTATCTTATTTTCTGGCTCAAATTTGTTTTAGCCAAAAAGTTTAAAATTTCAGTCTGTATTGTTTATAACTATCGGCGATCGGCCGTTGATCGTTGTAGACTTGGCAGCCACCTCTAATGTTTCTGTATCTTCCTCGAAATCTGCAGGCCTGTATTTTACACCAGTGCTAAATCCAGGTGGTACATGTATTCTGGGCTTTAGTATCTTCTTCATTTCCCTGCAACCCATGTTTATTAACGTGCCAAACACGAAAATGCCGATTACTAAACCCATGACAATGATAAAATGTCGGAGTCGTGTGACATGACCGTGACTGTGATTATTTGAAACATGAATATAATAATTGTCGCAATCGATGTGGTCATTCAATTGAGATACTAATGTCGCATATAGGTTTTTTGGCTCGTTACACCTGAAAATATAAATACAGGTATATTAAAAATAAATACTAACATTAAAGAACCTAATAGAAACTAAAGAACATTGAGAAAAATATTGGTATTTGAATGCGAGAAATCACTTTAGATTTAAGAGATAACAAGGAAATTAGTGTATTACAGAAATAGTCAATAGAAATATGGACGATATGAAATGAAAAATATCAGGCATATTTCAATGTTGAGAATTTAGTCTAGGAATATGTACAAGAAAATAAAGCAAAATAAATAAATATTATTGTATGATAGTTTTGACTATTTTTATAAAATACAATAAAATTAATATTAAATTTTTAATGAAATAATTGTCTAACATTTTAAAGAACTTTAATAGGTATTCTAATTCAATAATTACCGGTAATATAGAAAAGTCTCCGGTATTTCTTCAAATGTTTCATTGATATAACTTGCAAGCCAAGACAATCTACAGTCACAAGTCCATTGATTACCTTTGGCGTCGAATAAATCTAGCATTGACCAAGGATAGAGTTTTGAATCTAGACTGCTGATGTTCGTGTAACTTATTGATAGCTAAAATTTATTGACAAAACTGTAATATCACTCCTCAATCGCCAACGTTTTATTTAAATTACTTGTCTTAATGACCATTGCTGGCTAGTATTGTCCACAAAAGCGTCGYAATGAATGTTTGACAAACTGGGATTGTGGGACATTTGTAGTGTTATGAGCTTCTTTAGTGGTGCAAATGTACCGCTTCCGATATCGGTCAAATTTGGCATACCACTGATAATGAGTTCTTGGAGTTGGTCCAGACCGACAAATGACTCACTGTCCAAGTTACTTATGGGATTTGCGTTCATATTAAGATACGCCAGAGGCATGTTACGGATTTCTTTTGGTATATTCTGGAACTGATTACCGTTCAGGTATAATGTTTGTACATTGAGCAGTTGGGAAAACGCATCGCTTGGRAAGTCTGATATACCTGTATTGGATAAATCCAATACCTGAAATTCAAATTTWTTTATTACATCATGCTATGAACAAAAAACATGGTCATTTACCTGGAGTTTTGTTAAATGTTGTAAGGCTATTTCTGTATTTTGATCAATTACCGATAAAGGATTATTATTCAACTCAAGCATTTCTAAGTTGGTTAAATACTGAAAAAAATTCGGGGGCAAAGAATGTATATTATTGTATCCTAATTTCAGGACTCTTAGTGCTGGTTCATCATTTGTAGATGGTACATTTGGCCGTTCATAATTACGGTAAACGGATTGACGTAAATCATGACCTAAAATAAATTATATTTCTAGAAATTCAGTGTATATTTATTATATTATAATAATAAATAAACTCCTCAACAAAATTCAGTAAATAAAAATAACTATGTAGATCTTATTTAAATTTCAAAATATGTATTTTATTTTAACTATCTATTGTGAAAACCATGTTTCAATAAACAAGCTATAAAAAGCGTTTAAAACAAGTTAATTATTCTTAGGTACCTACGTACAACGTGCTGTCAGACATAGCGTATACAGGTATACAGCTADGGTGTCCCGTGAGGATTTACCCATTGCGATATCTCYCGAAATAATGGTGATATCGAAATTCTGGTTTTGTAATAAGACTCACAGGGATAAGAACTACAATTATTTCATRTTTTAATGTTTTGGTAAAAAAGTTAATTTTTATTTAATTATTTCAAAAAAAAAATTAAAGATAGCCATTTTGTTGAGTTTATTTTTATGAAAATATTGACATTTCAAAATTTTATTTTCATTAATTTCCTGATTTTTAATATTTTTTTTAGTTTCGAGAAAAATTGCGAATTATTTAACACCRTGATGTTATTAAACATWTTGTGACCCGCCGCGCCACGCGCATTCCATACGGCCGGCCGAATACTTTCCGTGTACCTAATAGTTATAAATTTATAATCATATTTTATTTCTTTAAATATTAATTGTTTTAATTGTTTTAATTTTACAATTTTTATTTATTTTCTAATAAAGTCAGATGCCAAGTTGGATCTTAAGTAATTTATTATATGTACTAAAATTTTAATTTTTTAAAAATCGTGTTTTATAATATTTTTTACTATTTTTACATGTCTAAATTTAAAAAAAAATTCATGACACCTAACTCTGTGTCAATCATATTTTTAAAAACTATTTGAGTTACCTAAGACAATTTTTAGATTATAATCTAGTAGGTTGAAAAAAATAGTGGATAATATTCTTATACTCTATTTATTCACATCTATTAACTCATGTACTTATATTTTACAGGGAGGAATACTGGAGGGTGCTTTGCAGAATGTCCGAATACATTATGCGAAACATTGACTAATCTTTTTTTTTAGTTACTGCAAATACTCGGTGGTCTGGTATCATTATATTATATTATAAATATATTATATAATCTTTAAGAAAATTTCTCTACAATTTTTTTTCTTCGTGCCTATATTTGATTAAATCGGCATTTTAAATTATTTATCAATTGTCTACATTTTTAATAACTCCATATAATTAGTAATATAGTTTGTAAATGTTGACATTATGTTTTGATACATCTAATATTTTAATTTTAAATTAAATTTTTTAACCAATGTCTTATTTATAAATGAAATAGGTGGGGAGGGGGTTATTAATTATTATGCTTAGCACAATATTTATAACGTGCTTGCTGTAGCATACGTTATTATACCATAATATTATGAGAATATGAGAGGTWGAAATGTATGCATATAACTTGAAGAATGTGAGCAGTTTTGCATATTCTGTATACTGTATGTAAATTGTAATTTAATTGCTAATTAGTCAATTTAAATGAACCAAATTCAATAGGGTTCGCATGGCGATGAATTTAGCCATTTAGTATGTTCGTCAGCATCTTACGTAAAGTATATGCATATTATTATGTTCAATACATGTATCTACACGGTCGTTGTGGAAGTTTAATATAGTCTTATGGGTTGTTTGTCTGTGTAGCTTCTTCGTTCAATTTGCAGTGGTTAATTGAATCACATGCTCCGAAGGTTAATCAAATTAGATCTACCATTTCACCCTATAGTCATTGCAATTTCCATGGATACAAATAATTGTTTTTGTAACTGAAATTGTCCTTTGCTAAATCAGTAAAAAAGTTCACATAATATTGTTTGAGAGATTCAAATACACATTATATATAGTAGGTATTCCGTAACTATATCTATTATATAGTGGACGAGATTTCAATTTAAAAAAAAGAGAGATGCTGAAGTCTACTATTTTAGGCTCTGAATGGATCGTTGAAGGTTATTGGTTTTACAAGATTGTTTGTTTTCATTATTGTCTTTARTATCAATTTTTGGACCATTAACAATACATTAATATTAAATTTTGTCAAAACTTTGAGGGTGGCTTCTAGTAACGAATCTATTCACACCATTCTATGATAGTATAGTATATTAAGATTATCGCGTTNTATAAATGAAATAGGTGGGGAGGGGGTTATTAATTATTATGCTTAGCACAATATTTATAACGTGCTTGCTGTAGCATACGTTATTATACCATAATATTATGAGAATATGAGAGGTWGAAATGTATGCATATAACTTGAAGAATGTGAGCAGTTTTGCATATTCTGTATACTGTATGTAAATTGTAATTTAATTGCTAATTAGTCAATTTAAATGAACCAAATTCAATAGGGTTCGCATGGCGATGAATTTAGCCATTTAGTATGTTCGTCAGCATCTTACGTAAAGTATATGCATATTATTATGTTCAATACATGTATCTACACGGTCGTTGTGGAAGTTTAATATAGTCTTATGGGTTGTTTGTCTGTGTAGCTTCTTCGTTCAATTTGCAGTGGTTAATTGAATCACATGCTCCGAAGGTTAATCAAATTAGATCTACCATTTCACCCTATAGTCATTGCAATTTCCATGGATACAAATAATTGTTTTTGTAACTGAAATTGTCCTTTGCTAAATCAGTAAAAAAGTTCACATAATATTGTTTGAGAGATTCAAATACACATTATATATAGTAGGTATTCCGTAACTATATCTATTATATAGTGGACGAGATTTCAATTTAAAAAAAAGAGAGATGCTGAAGTCTACTATTTTAGGCTCTGAATGGATCGTTGAAGGTTATTGGTTTTACAAGATTGTTTGTTTTCATTATTGTCTTTAATATCAATTTTTGGACCATTAACAATACATTAATATTAAATTTTGTCAAAACTTTGAGGGTGGCTTCTATAGTAACGAATCTATTCACACCATTCTATGATAGTATAGTATATTAAGATTATCGCGTTGGCGTTGAACGTTGAATTGTAGTTAAACAACGATTAATTGCTATTACATATTAATAATTAATAAAGTAATAACTAATGCTATATATATATATATATTGTTATACTGTTGTAGTAGGTACTAGGTACCTATCTAATATTATATGAAATAATTTTATACTATACGTGATTTGTTTTGTGCAAAAATGAATTCAGCCTAATCAATATTATTAATATCAATATTTAGGTAAATAACACACCTTAAGGATTAAAGCAGGTCACTGATTGTCTCCACTCAACGGTYATTCATTAATTGATTTACGTACAGAGAATGATTTATCACTAAATTCAAATTTAACATTCATTTTTTGACCCACCTAGTGACAATGTACCTACAGTCAACGCGAAACCTATTATGAAACAATAAGAGACTTCTTCTTTTTTTCTTATTTAGTTATAGTCTTATGATAATTTATAGATTACCTACAGAATGAGTAGCTGAACACTATACACTTTATTTAAAAATTGAATTACATATCTATACATTTCTTTTGAACAGTACATATTAATTAATTTAGATAAAGTAAAAACTAATTAACTATCAATAAATTGCACAAATTATTAGAAATGCAAAAATGTGTTCAAAATTGAATTTTATTGAAACCCCCTTTCCCCTARAAGAAATCACATTTATGTTTAGCGATTACTAGGGGCGTCTATAGGGCTATGATTTCAATGCATTTGCATATTTTTTTGGGATATCTTACGCGATGCTTACCAAGCTACAAATATGTTCAAGCACTTCGCGTTCTAACTACAACAATTTTTTGGGCCATTTTTT